TTTTTTTTTTAAAACCCCCCCCCCCCCCCCCCCCCCCCAGTGTTGCCCCACTAAACTTAAAACTGCCCGGGTCTCCACAACTGTCAATTTGCCGTTTTAACTCATATAGAAAACGCAGCCAAATTGGTTATCGCGAAAGCCTGGAAATCGCTATCTTTACACTTCCATGAGGTCAAATCTCGAGTCCATTCGGCTCTATCAAATGAAAAACTTTCAGCTAAACTCTCTGGCTCTATGGTTACATTCCATAAAATTTAGGATCCATGGATTTCACGATGCCTACCTCCTCATTTTGACCGCCGCTTATTGTCCTTATAATCCGATTATAGACCTATATCTGAGAATGATTCTCGACCGTGTTTCCCAGGGTACTTTCTCTTACTTATTTGCTCTCATTTTCTTCTCCTGTATCTTTCCTCTTTCCCTCTACTCCTATTTTAATATCTCAGAGCTGCATACTTAGACTTTACTCGAGAACCACTTAATCGTATGTGAACAAATGTAGTCTGCTTGCTTTGGTTTTAATTTTTTTCTTATCCCAAAAGCTATATCTGATGTTAATTGTACAACTTGTATTCGATCCTATTATGCTTTGTGTTCTTGTACAACTGCATTTGCACCCAAACCTCATATGTGTAAATGTTTGTATACCATTAATAATAAAAAACTATTGAACAGAAAGACCTCATGAAACAAGGAAGCACGCTCTATGTGTGCTGTCTGAGGCTACTCAAATATGTCAGTTTCGGGATACAACACGCACAGGGAAAGCACATCTATGGACTAGACCAGTGGTTCTAAACCTGTGTAACCTCAGGACTCACATTTGTCCTTGATCATTAAGTTGCAACCCAAGTCGCACTGCAATGGAACGCACAGCAGTGTGGGCTGCCGTGCTGTGACGGAGCTCCACCCATACGTGCATTGCTTGTATAGCTCCCATGCACTCCCTGTAGATGTGCCAGGAGCCAGAATGTGACATCACTCCGGTCCAGGCACCTCTATAGGAAATGCGAGGGAGCTATAAGCATTGCACGTATGGATGGAGCTTCTTCGTGGCCATACCCCCAGACCACCCCACTTCAAGTTGACACTCGGAGACGGGCAGCATATTTTAAATGGCTGCTCAGTGTAAGAATGGACAGTGCTGTGCTAGGGGGAGGCTGGGGAGCCTCTCACCTAGAAAAGTGGAAGGCATGCGGCGACCCACTGAACACGCGGTCGCGACCCACTTCTGGGTCACAACCCACCAGTTGAGAACCAAGGGACTAGACAATAGAACTAACTCTGGTGCATTCCTATATAAAGTGTTTTTTTACAGTTGATGTGTTTTATGTTATTATACTGTGAGATCCTCCAGCACCGTGGTGTAGAAGGCAGATCTAGAGATCCGGTGGTCCTCACTATGACCCCAAGATCTCTTATCTACAGTCACCAGTGGTCTGAAATGGTAAGGGAAGGCAGATGATGGTCATCTCACATTGCGGCTCACTATACCCCGCAATCTTGTACTGATTTTAAAGACGGCACAATAATCTACATTTTATTTACTGCTGCTTGAACATGCCCAGAGTGATCACATACATCACCCCATGACCCTGCAATATACACAGTGCCAGGCTTTACATCTATAGAACAGAGAACAAGGCCAGAGTAAAGCTCGATCTGCTCCAACTTTGTTTGAAACTTTTGTTCTGAGAATCCATATTACATATTGCTGGCAGAGTCAGCTGTACATCTGGACACGCATATCTTACCATATAAGTAGCTGGCTGTGGGTTCCGTGTGTTTCCATGGTGGGAACACTGAGCTCATAGAGAAGGGGTCACTAGTAAGACCAGGAGATCATCTTGTTTGGTGACTGTACTGCCCCTGTGGTTGGCCAAATCTGTCACAGGTCAGGTCACCTGAGATATATTGGTAGACCCCAGACTCTTTGGCTTGTTTTACTCATTTATACAGCAGTGATTTAAAGAGACCAATGAACCAGTCACACCACTCCCTGCTCAAAAGGAGGCTACAGATATCCCCCCCAAAATTACCTGATCCAGCCAGAACCTTTGAGGCCACAGAGGCACATGCACGGTGGTTTGGTCCATTCCCGTGATCCAAACTGTATATTTCCCTGTGCAATAACAAGTTATTCCATAGGCCTTAGGGTTGTTTTATTGCACTGCAACACTTCAGAAATGTCCCAGTATACTCAAGATCAGTAGGATCACAATAAAGCCTAGTTATGGGCATTCAAAAATCTACAATTTCAAGCAATACGTATGATTTAAAACAAGACCTAACTGACCTCCATAGCTGCAGGTACTGTGGAACAATTTATTCCTCAATATTCACAAGATAAGTCATTCAATTCAGTCTCGGCACTCAGCTTTCCCCTCTCCCTGTCCACCTACTCTGTGTGTTTATTTTGGAGGTTAGAATGCTGGCAGGCTGTCAAATCACTACTGGGAAGGGGAGCGGAAAGAGCTGCTGAAATAAGTGCTTTCTGCTGCAAATTGTGGGGATGAATTATCCACGGTGTCTGCGGCTACAGAGGTCAGTGAGGTTTTGTTTTAAAGCATTTTTACTGCTTGTTAAGAATATGTTAAGAATATCATCTCTTCAGGGAAGCCCATCCCACCTCAACCTAACCACTAACCATCATGTTCTCAAATAATTCATCCCCACACAGCTCCCTCCTCATGTATCACTTGCCCCTCCCTTTTAGATTGTAAGCCCTCACGGGCAGGTCTCTCTTTACCATCTTGTCTTGAATTGTATTGTGATTGTAATGTCTTCCTTATATTGCAAAGCGCTGTGCAAACGGTTAGCGCTATATACATCCTGTATAATAATAATAAATGTCCATATCCTGTCCATATCCTGGCCACATTTCTATTTTGAGAATGGAAACAGCAAAGGGAGTGTAGTAATAATCCTCAATCACAACCTACTTAGGAAGTGTGTGACACAGGAAGCTATAAAGCTGTGAAACAAAGCGCTGGTGTAACAGTTCTGTACACAGTGTGGCAGGAATGTGCAAGTAATATGACAGATTTAGGAGCTGCATCAATTGACTTGGGTCTTACGTCAATGGCACCAGTATTATATCAGTTTGAGATGCTTCTGAAATCAATCAGAATTGATTGATAGGTGCATATGACCTGCAGTTATACAGCTCGCGGTATACTGAGATAGCCGTAGCCAGGACAGATCCCGAAAATGCTGTCAAAATCCACCCAGCTGCGTGATTGACAGCGGGTTCTGCCTATCTAGAGGCCAAGCCAGCTGTACCCGCCCCCTCCCCCGTCCGTTCCTCCAGTCAGCGCTGGAGTATTGGATCCGGGGGGGGGAGAACCCTGCGGGGAGCCGTGAATGGCCGTCACGGCTCTCTGCAGGGAGATGATCAAGAAGTAAGCGAGCGACGGTATGCGTTCCCTCACTTCCTGATCTATTGAGCCGACGTGTGAGTTTCATTGTCACACGTCGGCTCGAACTATGAGGATGAGTGATTTTCACTCACCACATAGTTCTTCTTTAAGGCCCGTGTCAAAGGGCCTGAAGCAGCGGAAATGCAGGTGAGAAAAATGGCAGGCCGAATGCATCTGTCAATGATTTCTGATTGGTCTTAGAAGTATCTCAAAGCCAAAAGCCCTTGGACACAGGTCTTAGCTGTTTTCCTGGAGTTTCATCCCTAAAACCGGTTTTAATGGTTATCCACTTGGCAAGAGATGAGACATCTGGCACCATATCTGGTGCAAACTGACTGATATCAAGTTTAAAAGCAAAATGTGTACACCGGAAACTCTTTTGTAAGCAACTTTCAATCTTTCCAGTTTCTGGTCATAGTCAATAACTCCTAATACAACTACTGCTGCAATTGCAAAAGCAAAGAATATAACACATGCATTTGGTGTAGGTTTACCTAACTTACCTGCCCTCTTGTGGAAAGCAGCGGGTCTAGATTCCAATTCCACGGCCATCCTGTCGCTGACTTGTTGGAAGGAAGAAGCTGAATGTGTTGCAGGACCCTTCCATGCTGGGCTCCCACCAAGGTTGGCATCACTATGTGAACGAAGCTGGCCACCAGACTGGCTCATTTCATACATGGCATCCTGATTCCTCTTCTTCTCTTTCTTCAGCATGCTGACTAATATATCTGAATATTGGCAATAGGAACAAGTGTTTTCTCAAATAAAATGGCTAAATGTTACAGCTATATTATAATGGACCTGTCACATTTCTGGAGATATGTTGCAATGTACAAAGCGCTGAAAAGTTGGATAGTGAAGTAAGACGTGGTCCATCCTTCAAGAGCAGCCACCACTGACCTTTCTCAGGACTTGCAGTATACCAGCCGTCTGCTATAGTGCGACTTTCTTGTGAAAGATATTTACACCTTATTTCATTTTACGCCGTCTCAGGATAACTCTCAATGCTGAGTCTGAGCAGAAAGGCCCTCTAGGGCAGTGGTTCTCAACCTGTGTAACCTCGGGACCCACATTTTTATTACTGCCTTATCAAATGCTTGTCCTTATGCAATAGTATATGCTGTTTCCCAGGTCCTGAGTGTGAGATAACAGACAGCAGTAACTGCCTAACTATAGGCCTCTGTTTACGTAATGTACAGCAAGCAGTTGGCGCTCCTAGCAACAGGTTGGGCAGTTGACATTGTGACACCAGTTAGATATTAGGTAACCCCCCCCCCCAGTTCTGACTCTTGCCACCAGAGTCACGTACAAATTAAGTTAAGGTAAATACAGGATCCAATACAAATATTTCCAGAGGAATTATCTTATCCGTGGGCTGCTGCTCCTTTATTGTCCAATCAGCAGGCGAAGGGATGTAGAAGTGACTAAGGACTCAATATGTAAGCAGCCATTTTTTCCAGTAGTCATTCAGAACTGTACCAGTACTATGATTTTAGGGGGAAGAAGGCTAAACTCAATGCATGCAGATGTTTGTCTTTATAAAAATAAGGTAGGAAATGTATGTGGGGCATATAATAAGATTCTTACTTGGAGTCCTGCCTTGATCATGTACTGGCAATCCCAATTTGTGTTGCTGGGGGTGGATTTTATTGTCAAGTGGCTACTGTACCTAATTTCTGAGTTGCTATATGTGGAGACTCAAGTTCTTATTTGGGAAGGAAAAATGGCAAGGCTCAATCGTCATGGCTCAGAATCCCTTGTAAATTCTCTAAAATGAAAGAATGTGTTTGGAGCTGGACAAGGATACTGATTTCATTGTCTCTCTGCTGGAGAAGGTCTCGGAGCTTCTTAAGCTCTTCTGGACGGACATCGGAAAATCCAGGTCTTTCTGTAGTGATCTCAGGAGAAGATATTCTCACATCAGATGGTTTCCTGTCACGGAGAAGTCTCTGCCAAGTATAAAAAAGCATAAATGATCTTCACACCTTTTCAACTGTCAGCTTAGCACAAAACAAAATACATCTTTCCAAGTACATTAAGTGTAGCGGCACACTGGCTATTTCTCAACCATATTTATTGTAAACGTATTACAAAGCTGGTCTTGTCAGACTAACATAAGGTAAAAGCACAGCAATCTCTTCCCCTACATTCAATCTATGGCAATCTCTTCCCCTACATTCAATCTATGGCAATCTCTTCTCCTACATTCGATCTATGGCAATCTCTTCCCCTAAATTCAATCTATGGCAATCTCTTCCCCTACATTCAATCTATGGCAATCTCTTCCCCTACATTCAATCTATGACAATCTCTTCCCCTAAATTCAATCTATGGCAATCTCTTCCCCTACATTCAATCTATGGCAATCTCTTCCCCTACATTCAATCTATGACAATCTCTTCCCCTAAATTCAATCTATGGCAATCTCTTCCCCTACATTCAATCTATGGCAATCTCTTCCCCTACATTCAATCTATGGCAATCTCTTCCCCTACATTCAATCTATGGCAATCTCTTCCCCTACATTCAATCTATGGCAATCTCTTCCCCTACATTCAATCTATGGCAATCTCTTCCCCTAAATTCAATCTATGGCAATCTCTTCCCCTACATTCAATCTATGGCAATCTCTTCCCCTACATTCAATCTATGGCAATCTCTTCCCCTACATTCAATCTATGGCAATCTCTTCCCCTACATTCAATCTATGGCAATCTCTTCCCCTACATTCAATCTATGGCAATCTCTTCCCCTACATTCAATCTATGGCAATCTCTTCCCCTACATTCAATCTATGGCAATCTCTTCCCCTACATTCAATCTATGGCAATCTCTTCCCCTACATTCAATCTATGGCAATCTCTTCCCCTACATTCAATCTATGGCAATCTCTTCCCCTACATTCAATCTATGGCAATCTCTTCCCCTACATTCAATCTATGGCAATCTCTTCCCCTACATTCAATCTATGGCAATCTCTTCCCCTACATTCAATCTATGGCAATCTCTTCCCCTACATTCAATCTATGGCAATCTCTTCCCCTACATTCAATCTATGGCAATCTCTTCCCCTACATTCAATCTATGGCAATCTCTTCCCCTACATTCAATCTATGGCAATCTCTTCCCCTACATTCAATCTATGGCAATCTCTTCCCCTAAATTCAATCTATGGCAATCTCTTCCCCTACATTCAATCTATAGCAATCTCTTCCCCTAAATTCAATCTATGGCAATCTCTTTCCCTACATTCAATCTATGGCAATCTCTTCTCCTACATTCAATCTATGGCAATCTCTTTCCCTACATTCAATCTATGGCAATCTCTTCCCCTAAATTCAATCTATGGCAATCTCTTCCCCTAAATTCAATCTATGGCAATCTCTTCCACTAATACCAATCTATGGCAATCTTTTCCCCTACATTCAATCTATGGCAATCTCTTCCCCTACATTCAATCTATGGCAATCTCTTCCACTACATTCAATCTATGACAATCTCTTCCCCTACATTCAATCTATGGCAATCACAACGCTGTCCAGCTCTTCCCCGACATTCAATCTATGGCAATCTCTTACCCTAAATTCAATCTACGGCAATCTCTTTCCCTACATTCAATCTACGGCAATCTCTTCCCCTACATTCAATCTATGACAATCTCTTCCCCTACATTCAATCTATGGAAATCTCTTCCCCTACATTCAATCTATGGCAATCTCTTCCACCAATACCAATCTATGGCAATCTCTTCCCCTACATTCAATCTATGACAATCTCTTCCCCTAAATCCAATCTATACCAATCTCTTCCCCTACATTGAATCTATGGCAATCTCTTCCCCTAAATTCAATCTATGGCAATCTCTTCCCCTAAATTCAATCTATGGCAATCTCTTCCCCTAAATTCAATCTACGGAAATCTCTTCCCCTACATTCAATCTACGGCAATCTCTTCCCCTACATTAAATCTATGGCAATCTCTTCCCCTAAATTCAATCTATGGCAATCTCTTCCCCTACATTCACTCTATTGCAATCTCTTCCCCTACATTTAATCTATGGCAATCTCTTCCCCTACATTCAATCTATGGCAATCTCTGCCCCTAAATTCAATCTGTGAGCATTTTTAAAAATGCTTAAAAAGTCCTGCCTTTACTGGTCAAAAACTATTGCAAACGATCTCAACCTGGGTACACACAATAAAGCTTAAGCTCTGCCTACCAGTAGTTCCAATATCCAGTGAGAGCACCAAGGGCTCTTGATAGCAGGACTCAGGCCAGGTGGTATGATGTTTTCAGGAAGCACAGCTCCCTGCACACCCCTCCCACCAGCCATGATACTGTATGTCTGCATTGCCTAGAGAATCACAGCAACAGTGATGACATCACTAATACAAGGTAAGTAATGCAATAAAAAAGATTTTATTGAAAAGATGTTATTAGCATGTTGATGATGAGAGACTGGAGGAGCCATGGAAAGTAAAATATATACATAATAAACGTCAGCTTTAAGGCAAATCTGCGCTTTTCCCATTCAGGGCAACAGGTTTGTTTTAATCCCGGCAACCCTAGCAGGATATACTTGCTTTTCCTTTACTTGCTTGGTAATGGCTGGTACTTTCAGGTGCAAAGGAGCATATGACCGTGCTGGACCAATCAGTGCTGTTGCAGGAAGTTCACAGCCATGTGTGTGGTACAACTTTGCTGACTTTTAGCTTTCACATGGGCAAACAATGGAATGACTTTAAAATTGCAACATCTGGCTTGTTACCTTCAGTAAAGCAAAGCAGTAGTGAATTTTCCGCATGTCTGCGCCAATGTTCAAGGTGCTTTCTGGGTCTCCATCATCAAGGAAATTGTGTGTCTGCTCATCGAGCCTGTTAAAAAAAAAAAAAAAATAGTTTCAGATTAACAAAATTCTGTGCTGTAACACTAGACCACAACTGGCAGTTCAGCGACTGTTGATGACTGTGTGAGATAAGGTCATGAGTACATCTCCGTTGTATATCTAGTACTGTATGCTACATTCTGCTCTGCATAGTGTGCTGTAAGTAACAAACTCTAGACTGCTGCACCTTGTAACCTATGTGTACATGACATAATGCAGATCATTGCGCTTAGCATGTATTACTGTATTCATCATACATAAAATCAGTGCACTTTGTAAATTGCAACAGCTTCACTCGCTACACAGCTGTACATTATAAACTTCAGATTGGTTCATTTTGTATTTGATGCTGTACATTACATACTCCCGCTTCACTCTGCTCACCGCGCTAAACAATACATATCCTAGATCACATTGGTTTACTCTCTATGCTGTTGTAAGGGTTTCCCGCTGACTACGCCTGCGCCAAGCGCGCGTTCTTGTAATATTCAGGGCCGCGCTGTTCCGCGCATCCGTGGGCACTATCGACCTCCGACCCGGAAATTCTCCGCAGTGGTGCACAGGAGATGACTAGCTGCAGCTCGACCTCCGACCCGGAAATGCTCCGCACTGGTCCACAGGAAATGACTCACTACAGTGATTACTTCCCCTATATAAGCTTGGCCTCAGCACCACCATGTTGCTGGTTTATTGTCAGCTATCTCCTGTTCCTGTGCTCTTATTATGCTCTGCTTGACTCCTTGTGACCTGGATTTCCCTGACGACTCCTGTTTGCTGCCTGCCCACGACCTCGGAACTGCTCATTGGACTACGCTTTTGCCTGACCCTTCTGTACCTCGATTGCTCACTTGGAACTGACCTCGGCTTGTTTACCTGGACTACGGCTTGCACAGTGTTCAACACCACTGACACTCCTGCCACTTGCTGCCCTTCTGGTCTCTGTTCCCATCCCCAGAGTCCAAAGGACACAAGGTGCAAGGGAAGCCTCCTCTCACATACGGTCTCCAATCAGGTACGTGACAGCTGTGCTGTACATTACATACTATGCCCAGTCTCACTCTGTACACTGTGTTGTACAATACATATCTCAGATCACATTCTATACCTGCCAGGGAACCAAGTAACCATATGGAGGTTAAAAAATAAAAGGAGTTTATTGAATATACAAAATATATCAAATAACAATAAACAAAATGGCATAAAACAATGTGAAAAGTCCAGGACATCGTTGGTGCCAAGCCAGAGGTCAGATGCCAAAGCAGGTAGTCAGCCAAACCAGGTCAGGGAACACTAAGAGCAGGATGAACGGAAACAATAGCCAGAGTCAGGAACCAGGAGATCAGTCAGCCAGAACCAGGGTCATACACAGAGAACAGGAACAACAGCAGAGAACCTGGTACATCTGAACACATGCAAGGGCTGAGAATGAATGGACAAGCTGATGGTTAAATAGTGAGCTGGTGTTGCATCATCACTCTGAGGTAAGAAGTTGCCAGAGGTGTGCCAGTAGTTGCAGAATGATGATGTTTATGGGTTTGGTCAAAAGAGGGCACAAAGAATAATGAACAGTGTCAGAAACACGGCAACAGAAGACAGGCTGCAGCTCAACTGGACAAGGAAGGGTAAGAAACCCTGACATTACCTTGATCTGTATGTTACCTAGTCTGGATAGCACGTTGTCAAAATATATATTTAGAACTGGAATAGCTATTCCAATTCTGGAATAAATTAAACAGACAAGAAGAATGAGTGAGTTTTCTGGTATGTACATAAGTGTAATAGTGGAGAATGAGAGCGGTGTCCTTGTACATAGTAGACAAGTAGTCACAGCACTCTCACCTGTGGCACATATTAGCATTCTTCTAGTAATGGCTGAGCCAGGAAATAAGATCCATTAATAAATCAGAGGAAAACAGCTTACAGAAGCCCAGATAAGCCACAATAAAATTTATGCTAAAAGGGACTTTGTGATCCAAAATCAGCAACGCAAGGCACGCTTGTTAATCACATCCACTGGGAGTTCGTACACGGTTTTGGATGTATCCATAAAGGGGCACAGCTGTTTGCTGGATTCCAAACACCGAGGTGATGAGATGTCCGTAGATTGATCGTTTGGAATAGAGCCCATCGAAAGACCATGTGGAGACTTTGGATAGAAATCTCTGTTTTTGGAAATGTCAAACTATAAAAAGGGCTCGGCGGGGCCAGCAAAGAAATAAAATATGTATTGGTGAACAAACAATTTACGAGGAGGAACATGCATTCCTCCCTCATGAAGCTTGGCCTTCAAGTCCTGGATGGCCTGTTTTACAGAGTACGGGTAATTGGAATGACCTGTCTGCATATCTTAGCTGTCACCATGACCCAGAGAGCTATGAATCTCAACAACAGAAATTGAAAAAACAAAAAGATATCATTTTTAATAGGTCTAATAAATCTAAAGCACAAGGTGGTTAAACTTAAAAGAAGAACAATAACAATTACAGCTACGCATTGAAATTATCAGCAGTTTTTCGGAACAGTTTGTATTTTAAGATAAAGTTCTGACCCAGAGGCAAGATATTTTCTAGCACGTCTCACTTTATGTTGGCGAATAACATGAAGGAGACTCCAGGCAGCCTGTAAGGAACACAAGGCAAACTAGCTACAGACATAACACATATCAAACACATGTGGGTAAGGTAAACCCACCCCCCAGCTAGAGAAAGTGTGCATTTATGTTAGTGGAACATTAGAGATCTCCCAAGAAAGTTCCAGCAATGGATCCTTTCCTTAAGATCATTGAGCCTGGGGGCCTCTGCAAAAATGATGGCGTTGTGTTTCCAGCGTAGATTTTGTAGTGTTTGTCATTGGAGAGGAATACTTAGCTTCGCTTCAGGGACAGAGGTTTGACCCAATGTTGGAGAAATTAAAGCCTAAGGGTGTTCAGACAATGGGTATCAAGATCCTCATGACCAGATTCTCCTTCCTTTATGGTCAGATGAACCTGTACCCTTATTTTACAACTCCTACAGGAGAGAACGAAGATAAATGACTGCAGACAGCTTCAAAGTTAGTAGAGGAGCGTGGTCCTCCTGCACATGTAAGTGTACTCTTACTAGCGAATCGATCAGAGGGACATGTAGGCACCTACTACCTACTAGGCACCTAGACAATACTTTTTCTACTAAAAATGTTATTATGACTAATGGGTTTGCTTTAAAGATGAGCTTTAGGAGTAGGTTCAGGAATTTAGGGTTAGATTTAGGGGTGAGACTGAGCTTTAGGGGCTAGGTTGTGAGTAAGGGTTAGATGTAGGAGTGAGGCTAAGCTTCAGGGATGAAGTTGTGGGTAAGAAATAGATTAAGAGATGAGATTGAACTTTAGGGGCTAGGTTGTGCGTAAGATTTAGGGGTGAAGCTGAGGTTCAGGGATAAAGCTGTGGGTAAATATTAGATGTAGGGTTCAGGCTACGTTTTAGGGCTTAAGTTGTTGGTAAGGCTTAGATTTAGGGTTGAGGTTTAGCTTCAGGGATAAAGTTGTGGGTAAACATTAGATCTAGGCAACCTTAAAGTTCATGTCTTCTCATCACAATGGGCTTCCTGGTTAAGAGATCCCAGATGTTTACTCCAACTGGTATGATCTTAACGTGTTAACATATGCCAAGATGTGTATGCCCGATTGGGTGTATTGGTGGCTCATTTATTAACATACTCCCACACGATCCCAACCCCTTCAACTCCAAGGGTCGTATACTCTCCTACCACTTAATAGATTCCGCCACTAGCTGCACACACTTTGGACTGCCAACTTCCCGAAAGCTATGGAAGTTTGATCTTGCTGTGCCAATACTCCGCCCGGAAAGAACATGTTCTCCGAACCTCTTTGGTGTACGAGGAATGCACTAATGCTTTTTTGCTATGTTCCATCCCTACAAACCTTGAAAATGCCTATATACTGCTTTATTCTCCTTTATTATGTATGTTTTGTATGATTTATACATAAAAACCTAATAAAATTCTATGATATAAAAAAGAAAAAAAAGAAAACATTAGATGTAGGGTTGAAGCTACGTTTTAAGGGCTAGGTTGTGGGTAGGATTTAGGGGTGAAGCTGAGCTTCAGGGATAAAGGTGTGGGTAAACATTAGATGTAGGGTTGAGGTTATGTTTTAGGGGTTAAGTTGTAGGTAAGGATTAGATTTAGGCCCCGTTCACATGTAGCGACTTAGCGCGCGATTTCCGCCGCGATATCACGCGATTTCCGCCACGATATTGCGCATTTTTGCCGCGCGATATCGCGGGTAGTCGCCGGCTAATGATAGTCAATTGAGCTGTCTTAGCTCCATGACGCGCGTCGCTCGTCGCGGTCGCAAGTCGCTTCTACCGACCCTTTTTTCGGCGGATTTTGCTTTTTTTCTATGGAGCCCGACGGAGAAGGTCGCGCTACCGTCGCTGGATCGTCGCTGGAACGTCGCCCCGAAAGTCACGCTATCCCGGCCGCTGCAAAGGTATGTCGCTACATGTGAACGGGGTCTCAGGGTTGAGGTTTCGCTTCAGGGATAAAGCTGTGGGTAAACATTAGATGTAGGGTTGAGGCTAAGTTTTGGGGGTTAGGTTGTGGGTAAGGATTAGATTTAGGGTTGAGGTTTCGCTTCAGGGAAAAGTTGAGAGTAAAGGTTAGATTTAAAGATGAGGCTGAGTTTTCAGGCAAGGTTGTAGGTAAGGGTTAGATTTAGAGGTAATTTTAGTGTCTCTCTGTGCAGATTCCTCAGTGAAGAAAATAGGATTTTGCTCTTACCGTAAAACCCTTTTGCGGAGTCCATTAAGGGACACATCCCGGGAGAATTCTGAGACATAGAGGCAGCATAACCCTCCGTCTCAGAATTCTTCAGAGCCGTGTCCCTCAATGGATTATAGAGAAAACAACCATATCCATGTCAGTTCTAATACACTGAAAACTAATGTACTGCTAGTGGTCCTGAAACATACAACGGTGTCCTGCTCTACCT